GGGGGTCAAAGGTCAACATTTGCAGGTCAAAATATGTACAACATGGCAGACGGGCAGCGCCACGAACTGGCGTGGCGAGAAGTCACGGCTCACGGGAGGTTCTCCGAGGGCTATCAAACAGGATGTTCTCACTCTTCGTCCAAAGCTCCGCTAGTCTTAGCTGGCGAGGAGTCTCTCACTCCCAGAACTACATCGCATACTTTTGCGTCCATTCTCGAGCTATTCTGTTGTACCTGAAAGCAGAAGAGGCAGGGTAAGCGCTTGGGTTCATTACAGGATACCAGCAACCATACAGCCGTACACATGCAATTTTCGTCTCAGATATTCCATAGAGGGGTCAGTATCAAGTAATGTCACCTAGCTGTGTACAAGAAGAAACATTGATTTTTAACTGAAGTGTGGAGTTCAGTTCAAAATAGGCAAAATTAATAGGTATTCGATACAATGTTACTGATCTGAAATGCGCACTGTGTAGAACGATGGCCGATGAATCTGCATGACGCAAGCCCCACCCCCGCAGGGGGACAGACCCCCCTCTCACTCACTTTTCCCTGTCTGTCTTGTAGATGCGGGCTATCTCGGGGACTAGCGGGTCGTCCGGATTTGGGTCACATAGCAGTGAGCAGATGGAGAGGAGAACTGGGGAGGAACCGCGAGATGGTTGGTCAGCCGGAAACAGCAGGCAGCAGAAGCAAAGGACGGCAGGCGCTGGCGTGAGTCAGGGACACGGGCAGAGCCAAGACCCAACGGGGCAAACGCTACACTGACAGCGATGAAGACCTCACAGGCTAAATCTAGTGTAGGGATAAAACATTTTGTTGCACCAAGACCACTTCATCAAAAATATTTCGCCCATTTGAGCATCGTATACAGCCATACGACTGAAAACAATGATGCAACAATCTTCAGTCAGTCCATGGTTTGCTACGCCTTATCTACTCATTTCCTCGTGAAAAATCTAACAGCAAATTAAAACAAAAACAAGGACAGGCCGGTAGGCCCACGGCTCCCGCGGCCATCTTGGCGCACACGTCGCCGTTCCGCCTTCCAAATATCACGCACGCAGAGAAGCGATCGAACTTCGTCCTCTCTTGATGGTATGACCTTTTCTTGACCGCTTGTGAAGCTTACGGCCCAGACATCAGAGGACATTCTGCTTTGGCCAGTCCGCAAAGAGCACTGGAAGGAACCCTAACATTTCACAAGGCTTGCAGTTTGCTACAGTAACGCATGCCTCTGACTCGTAACATAACAGACGTACATGGACATGTGCACAGCACCGAAGAGCAGCCACACAGATCTGAGCGACTCCGCATGAGGCCGGAGGAACATCGCAGGGACCAGCACCTGAATGTCCTACATACCTTTGGAGATGGTTAACGCTGGAGACCACTGCGATCTTAGAATGTCGAGGCAGATGCTCCCGTTGCTGTTGATGTTTGGGTGGTAGATTCTTGTGGTAAAAGCCACCTGGAAGCAGAGTGCAAGACATGGGAGGGGGTTGGGGGGGGGCAAAGACAGATTACAAACGGCAGCAGCCTGCGGCGTGTCACGGGGGAAAGAGAAAACGCAGTCGTGAAAAAGCCACAAATCACAAGTGCAATGAAAGACCGTACAGCCGCGGTCAAAGGGACTCTGAGCAAGTCAACCACTTTCAGTTTTCAGTAATTAAGGTTCAAGATTCAAGATCTTTATGTCACATGCGTAGTCATACAAGTACAACACACAGTGAAATGTACCCTGAGCCGCTCCTTGACTGTGCAAACATTAACAAAAGTAAAAAAAAAATAAGTAAAGAAATGAGTGCAATTAAATAAGTATAAATGTATAAACTAATGAAAAGAAACACGATTATTTTTGGCTAAGCTGTACCAGTATAAGGTAGCCCTGCCTCACCAGCGAGCTCACCTTGGGGGGTTTGAAGGGGTAGTCTGTGGGGAAGTGAATAGTCAGGAAGAAGACCCCTCCCTGATAAGGACTGTCGTTCTGCGGAAACACCACAATCATGTCGACATCCACACGGCCGCAAGGCGCGAGCGCCGGAAGCTTCCGTTAGAAATGGACATACTTACAGGTCCCATTATTGTAGCTTGCCAGTGAAACACTAAAAGAGAGAGAGAGGGAGGCAGGATTAGCGTGTGAGAGAGTTGCACTGAAGGCTTAGCCCAATATCAAAGGAAAAGAAAAGAGTCATGTCGTCAGTTGCATTACTAATCAAAATCCCAAACAATATCTGGCAGAGTTGTGGTCACCTACATAAGGTCCAGAACAGGGGTGTCCGGTCTTATCCAGAAATGGCCGGTGTGTGTGCAGGTTTTTGGGGTGACCTTTAGGTCAGCCGTTCAAACCCAGGTGTGAGGACCCTTCAGCCAATCAGTCCATTAATCAGTAATCTAATTAGGGAGTTGCAGCGAAAACCCGCACACACAGCGGTCCTTTCTAGATAAGATTTCTAGACAAAAAAAGTTTCCAATTCAGCATTTCCCAATATTGTCTTCGGGGACACACTCTAGGTCCACATTTTTGCTCCCTCCCAGCTCCTGGTGCAAAAATGTGGACTGTGTGGGTACCAGAGGACCAGATTGGAAAACACCGTTCTAAAGTCTAAAGAAAAGTTACAAATAGCTTTTTATTTAAAGATTACTACACATAGCTGTCTGGCAAACGAAATAGGCATACACGGTCAATTTAAACACTACAGCAAAGTGTTTGAGAAAGCGGGTACTTACTGTCATCCCCAACAGGGCCTGCCGAGCACTGGGCCGGTGGGTCACGTGCCAAGTCATTCAGCTCCTGAACATCAAAGAACGCTCGTGAGCAAATCAACCCTCGGAGAAACTCGAATGGAAACAGACCATCTCCAATAGGCCACCCACACACCCACACCCACACCCACACACACGATCATTCATTCCTGTGGCATCCTGAAAGCCAGCAGGACTGCTCTGCGCCATAGCAGTGAGTTAAGTGACAGTGTGACAGTCCTCTAACACTGAAGACTGAGGTAAGCGCACAACGTCCCTCTCATCCTTCCAAATCCTCCTTGATGCTCAGCGCGGGATTTTGGCGAATGCCACACCCGGAAAGAGGCATCCCATCAAACGCTAGTGGATTTAATGACAAATGCAGAATACTGCCAGTGAAGGGGAGTACAACATAATATACAAGTCATAGAATATAAAAATCTGGTGTAAATCTTTGAGAGCTAAACACTTTTAGACCATCAGAAGGTACCGGATCCCATCACCGTCGCCACGGGAGGGCAGACAGGCAAGTCCTTCACAATTCAGTGAAGCAGTGATGAAGATGACAGATTTGGCCGATTTCCTACTTGCACAGTAAGATGCTGAATACAATATATCGATTCCCAGCGCCATGCTGCGGAATGTCCTCCCCACCCAAGCCCTGTCCTTGGATTTCACTGCTGCATCAAAGTTCCAAGTTGACAAAGGGAAGCAATCCATAGTGGGGGGGGGGGGGCAAACCTGTTGGCCAGTGCTGCTAAACCCCTCCCCCCAACACAGACTCGTGTATGCAGTGCGCAGTTCTCGTCTCAAGCGAATTTCTCATTTCACCACATTTCCATTATCCACGCAGCCAATCACGCAGGTGCCGTTACAGATGGAAGCTGTCAACATCGCATCCCGTCCGCTCGCCGGTTCCCCAAAACGTGCACAAACTGGTCCACGTTATGGCAGCTTTCATCTGATCATCAGCCACATGCCGATCTTTATCAAACACCCCTTTGAAACTTCACGCGACTATACAACTGACCACTGCGCCACGCAGATATAGATGCTGGCTTGCATCAGCGGCTGTTTATGAATTCTCAGGGCTACGGGGAAACAAACAGGCCCATCTGTCACTGAATTACATGAATAAAAAAACAAAAAAAAAAAACACTAGAGCCCCATTCTGTGGGTTTACAGCGCTAGTACACCATGTATTGGACAGTCAGTAGGTAATGCATCTGTAAATCACTTCCAACACGCAAAAGGAATAGATACCAAAGATCGTCTCAGCCAATCCTACGCTACACTGACACCCTCAGTATCTCTATGCCTCCTGACCATCAGTAATAACTTGACAGAACTTGTGTTGGACCGGATAAATCCTTTTAAAGCACACAGAGAGGAACCTGCACATCACCTCAGCTGGCAGGTACGAGGGGGGGGTTACAGACTGACGGGATTCCCCCAAAAGCTGATTCTAACAGATCTCTGTTTCATGTGTGTCAAACTGCTTAGAGCGCATTACGGACAGTTATAAATATAAATTAGCCACTAGATGGCAGTATTTATTCTACCGCTTAAAGTTACGTTGCATAATCCTATTCAACCACCCATTCACACTCCTAACAGATGGATCTATGAGTGACATGAAAATGTTCAAGAATTAGAAAAATTTTGTAAAAATTCATAAAAGCTGAAATCACAAGACAGACAAAGCCTTTTTAAAAATCACAGAACATGCCTTATTACACCAAGTATATTGACCAATTTAAGAACATGAGTAATTAAACACTCTGCAGCCACGCAGTATCACTATTTTTATGGTCTGGATACATTTCTTAATCTGAAGGAACAAACTTTGTCCTGGACAGTCAAGACGAAACTTATTTTTGAAGTTGACTATTAGTGTGTTAATGAATTTCAGCAGTAAACTCAGCCAACCTTCCTGGACTCTCCCAAGGATTCCTAAAAGCACGCCCCCCCGAAGATACCCACCACAGCTAGCTAGCTGCTTCTGCTCATGATGCCATAAACCAGGGCAGGCAGGTGGGATTTTCAGCAGGGGAGTCAGCGACACAAAGAGGTTACATTTGCTAAGGGGTCGAGCAGAGCTTCCTCTTGCCACGTTCAGCGGCCTCTCACGACCTCGACACCGTTTCCACACAGTCCTCAGGATCACACACACACCAAGCGGCGCCGCTGCGGCAGGCTGGGCCACTGTTACAAACGCGGCATGACTATAATACAATATACATTAATATTCTTATATAGCGCCTTTCACAACAGAGTTGTCCCAAAGCGCTTTACAGGGTCGTGTTGTGATACATAAAACATAATAGAGAGATACAGAATGGGGGGAAAAGGAAGGAAAGAAATTGAATAAAGAAAAGCCAGAAGACAACGGAGGAGAGGAACCAAAGACTCCCAAGTAGGGAGAAAAAAAACCTCTGGGGTCCAAAGTCAACTGGCTGCCACCCCCCAGGCAGACTAACATCACCGAAAACAGAAAAGAGTCTACATACTTGCTGAAAGGTAGGTATGACTAGATACTGAAGGAAGTGTTTGACTTCTTTGCCTTGTAGAAACAAACAGTTCCCTTAAACCGCAGGGCATCAAAAAAATAAATAAATTCACTTCAAACTATGTGTATACATTTTCCACATACTGGAGCTGGTATGCGTTCCATAAGACACTGCTAGTTACGCCCAGGGAAACACCTGTGTCCAGTACCGCCTTAAAAGATCCATATCATGCCAGATATCTGCACGGGCAGCAATCACTGGTATGTCTGAAATGAACTGGAAGGTATTGGGAGCTCAAATACCAGAGAATCTGAGCTTCCTGGTTAAGGTACATTTCTCATTGAAAACATGGTTGTATAGTACGCTGGTCCATTATGTATACAAGCAGCGGAAGAGAAAGAGAAAGATCCATTTAAATGTAGACTACTAGGCATAACACTTCCCAAAGCATGTATTCTCAACTCGGAGCCCACAAACGACCAGCCAGTAAGGACACAAGGCAAACGAGTCTCAGGCTCGAGAGTTTTCAAACAAGGAAAAAAAGCTGGTTCTAAAATTTGTCAAAAAAAAAAAAAAAAAAAAAGCTGTAAGAGAGACACCTGAATATGCAGCTTGTGATTTTAATCACTCAATGGCAGCACGTCAATGTAACCAAAACCTCCGCGCACAACCAGGGGTACACAAAGATTTTTTAAAAATTACTAACTAGGGCAATTACTACACTACAAATCCATCGTGACACCAATTAATCACTTACACAATCATAGCAGTGAATTATAGCAAGTAAAGGAAAGCGAGGTAAACTGCGATACGGGGCTTCCAAGAAATCAACTGTTCCAAATAAAACAACAAAAACCATGATCACTGCAGCCAGAACGCTACTGAACAAACGGTGAGAGCGCCCCGAGACTTTCATTAGAACCAAGACTACTGATCAAACTCAAATAATAGGTCTGATTTAATGCTCATGCATAGCTGTGCCTCACTAGTCAAGTGGGGACACACACACACACACACACACACACCTTGGGGTGCCCAAATCACTCCCATCACATAACGTTAGCAAAGAACATAAAGCTGTCTTCACCATTTTGCCATTCAGTTTTAATATTTAACCACCTGGCTCGATATCTAAGAACTACAGTGACAGATTACAGATTGCTCTCATTTTATGGGATTACAAATCCCAAGGCATCAGGCTCCAACTGGGCAAGAGCGACAACCTTGCAGCCATGACCAAACTACAGGAAAGACACGCCACCACAGAACCGGTCTGCATGCAGGGGACAAACCCTGTACAATCACAAGCGGGCAAGATAAAAATGTACTGGCTTTATTCTGAAGAGCTCAATAGCGGCTTCTCAGCAAGCATCTATTTCAAAGGGCTGTAAAGGCGGATGATTTACATATGTAAAGGGACGGGTAAGCTAAACGCCATGGGACGGCCTCAAAGGCAACAGGAACTTGGACAAGCCTGGTGGAAGTTATACAGCACGAGCAAAATTACTGACCAAGAGTCGCCTTCGATTTATCCGTCTGAAAGCAGCTCCAAAAACAGCAGGTCAATGCATTTACAGCCGTCTAAGCCGCTTCAGAGTCATCTCAGGAATTCCTGCTCAATATAAGCCGAGCGTATTCATGTCTCACCAACGCTAACTCACACTTAAATGCTTTCTGTACACAATAGTGGGAGATGCTTAAAACCTGCACGTGAGCTCAACTTCACAGCTAGGAGAAAGCCTGAAAAGTCTGCTACACCTGCAGAGTTCTTAAAAATCAGTGACGCTACCAAAGCCAGACACATCCTAAACACATTTATGAGCTAATCAGTTCCGAGATGCCTCTATTTACTGTTATAAAGACATTGCAGAATGAATCCCAGCTACTAAATAATTTCACCAAGTAAACATTTATGGCCGACCGCATGTTTAGAAAAAACGATACTCGAACTACAGTCTTAAACCATCTCAAGGGGCCGGCACTAGTTTATATATTAAATCTTTAGTTCATGGGTCAACGTGACCTAGTGATAAGCAGTACAAATGGGTGCACTTAGCTCATGTTCTGAACTTAATCAGTCCATCCTTAACATAGCACCTTCCTCACTCAGTGGGCTTAACTAGGATTTCCTGAAACTGCAATACCGGGACACGACACGCACGGTTGTGGGCCTTATTTACCTTGGCCTCCCTATTCCACCTGCAAAGCTTTAATCGTACCACATCCATGACCATCTGCAAGCACACATACTGGTGTTAACTAATGCATCACCCGAGATTGAGCAGTGTAGATGAATCTGTTAATCGAGGTAAGCAATCTCTCTGATCCCATACAAGCGCGCAGAAAACGGGATACCAGGAATAACCAGTACAGATGAAAAAAGTGACAGATTATTATAGGAGTCAGTATAACTTCAGGGGAACCAAAAGCCACCATTAATATGACCCTCGCCCTAATGAGGCTACCTGCCCCTCGCCCTGCTAACCACACACAATCCAGCGACACATTATTGATGATTTCAGGCCTTGGCTAAAGTTTTTAGCATTTTAAAAGCAGAACAGAAGCGGGCACCCCCGGCACATGCACATAACGCCGGGCCCGTGTGCGGGAGACTTGGCTGACCCCCACCTGGACGCCCCGAAGGCGCCCGTCACTCCGCAGTGCCGTGGGCCGCATTACGGTCCGCTCCGCGTCCGGAGGCCCATGTAACCGCGTCAGCGCCGACACGAGCCGCACATCGCGGCAAAGGCGGCGGCGCGGCACAGTGCGGCGGGGGGGTCCATTTCGCGTTAAGGTGCGAAATTCATCCGTTTATCTATCCATCTATTGCACGGATGAAACTGCATATGTACCGCAAAGACAATGATGGGCTTTTTAAATATAAAGTAGCATTTGCGCGTATCGCGAGTACAACCCCACAATCAGTAGATGTGGACGGGGGTATGCAGCTGCGGAGGCGATTAATATGCGACGTGTAACAAGTAATGTAAGGAAAATGTAAGAGAGGGCCGCGGAGCGCCGCCTGAGCCGGGGCGCCGCGGAACGCAGCGAGCCGCCGCCTGCTGTCGGGGTCCGGGCGCCGTCGACGCGCCACACGGCTCTTTGTTATTAACATTTCGTCGACAAACTCGGCGTTATGTGTCGCGGTGGCGTGCGGTTTGCGAGCACCGGGTCCCCGCAAAGCGGCGCCGCTCGGCGGTGAAGCGGAGGCCCAGCGCCCGCCGCCTACTTCCTTACCTTATGGATTCTCTTCAGAGCCATTGTTGTGCTTTCGCCGCTGTCACCGCAACGTGTATTATTCTCGCAAAATGGCGTTCGCCTCTCTCTCCCCCTCTCGGCTGCCCACTCCCTAAACAGCGACAAAAGCAGAGAAATGTAACCCGGGACCGCTGTGTGGCTGCCGTACGCACTCGGTCGGCGATATAATTTGTAGGCGAAAGCGAAAGACACTAATGCGAAACCTGGGTCCTTCCTCCTGCGGCTGCAACTACCGCATCACTCATTCGACAGCCCTGCCTCTCGCAACCCTTCCGCCTACCAGGCTACTGGCCGGCGCTTTTCAATGCCAGGCTCCCCCTAGCCTCGACGTAGCGTTTAAATCCTAGTGGTTAGAGCTTTGCAGGTCAACGGACGCCATGTTGGCTCCGCAAGCGCGGGCGAAACCAATTGATTCGCATGCAAAGTTAGATCCAAAATGGCCGCGGCCGTGACGCGTTTTCATCGCACCTCACCCGCACGAGAAACGTCTTTCACCTTCTTTTTAGACGATTGGCACACGTTGTACATCATAAATGCGCAGATAAAATTCACTCTTAATGTTCTGGTTGAAAACTGTTTACATCCGACGTAGTATATTTGTCAGCTGAGATAAAATTATAAAGAAGAGTTGAACAGGAAAATATGCGGAGGGATACATTAAGAATTCTCGTTTCGACGCATATTATCGCGATATTTAACAATGATTGCAGATTTAGGAAGTGCCGCGAATGATGCCTAATTATACAAAGGCACAGCACGCTCTAACCAAGTTGTTTTGGTCAGCATATATTCATTACAGATGTAAGACTAAAACATGTTGTAAGTTTCTTAAGAAACCAGTACCAAACCAGTCGGTCAACATAATCAAAATATTTTACACGTGATTCCACTTTAAATTAAATTAAATCAAATTTAACATTACTTCTTTTAACACTTCTATCTAATCTTTACCTTTTATAGACTTACTGAATCCATAAGGGTACAAACATTATTCCTAATTGCACACTTAACTCAGGATTTCTTTTTTTTGTCCAAATGACTGGAAAATGGGACTTGCTGTTCATATCTGGAAAGGGAAGGGTGATCTCCTGGATTGCAGCAACTATAGGAAGATAACACTGCTCTCAGTGCCAGGTATGGTCTTTGTGAGGATCATCCTCAATAGGATCCGTGATCACTTGCTGGCTTACCAGCGACCGGAGCAATCTGCTTTTATCCCTAAGAAGTCTGCCATCGACCGCATCCTGTGTGTGAGGGTTCTCATCGAGCGCAAACGCAAACCTTGGCAGGGTTTCTTTGCAACCTTTGTCAACTTTCATAAAGCGCTTGACTCAGTTGACTGGGCTGCCTTGTGGGACATCCTGAGACTTCGTGGGAATCCCCTGAAGTTACTGGGCGTCATGGCCGGCCTGTACACTGGTACTGTGAGTGCTGTGCAGAGTGGAAGCAGAATCTCTGTGTTCTTCCCAGTGCATTCTAGGGTTTGTCAGGGATGTGTTCTCGCTCCTACTCTGTTCAGTGCTTGTATGGACTGGGTGTTGGGCAGGGTCGTGGGGTCCAGCGGCTGTGGGGCATCTGTTGGTGAAGAAAGATTTACTGATCTTCACTTTGCAGATGATGCTGTGATCTTAGCAAAGTCAATGGAGGCTGTGATCGAGGCTCTCGAGAGACTGAGTGAGGAGCCTGAATGTCTGGGCTTGCGAGTGTCCTGGATAAAAACCAAGATCCCGGCCTTTAATGATCTCTTGGGCACAGCCATCAGCAGTGTGTCTGTCGGAGGCGAGAATGTCGACCTCGCCGAGAGATTCACTTACCTTGGCAGCGACATTCGTGTCTCTGGTGACTCTTCCTGTGAAGTCAGCAG